TCTGTCTGTCTGTCTGTCTGTCTGTCTGTCTGTCTGTCTGTCTGTCTGTCTGTCTTATGATTTCACCAGCACTAAGTAACCGTTACTGAGTCGACGAGCTTCTTTTTATTTAAATCATCTTAGGCAGCTGAACAGAAATGAGGAGAAGACGCTCCCCAAAGGTTACCCAAACGGCACCCTGTCCAACGGCGTTTACCGCGGAGATGACCCAAGGATGGTGTACTCACCTCACGAAGATGGCCGAAACAATTCTGCCTCTCCACGGGCTAAGTCCTATACACAGCACGCAGCTGCCCCCAGACAGAGGCCCCCTGTGGTCTTTTACACCATTAGAGCAGACCCTCGGGTCCCTCAAGTGCCCCCAGATGCTATCCCTATAGCACCTCCCCATCCGTATAGAGGTCCACCTCCTGTTGGAAGGCCGGTCATGTTCTTGGATTTCTTCAACGGCGGTTCTCGGATGCCGAACGGTACGAACCCTTTTCCTTGTTAGTGTTACTTATTATGAATGCTATGACTTATCGCGAAAAGGTGTTATGTCTATTGACTTCCACGGCAATATGGCTAAATATCTTTTTCTCATTGTTACAACTGAAACTAATACGATTTTCATGACTTTTTTTATGAAATGAAATATTTATTATGTTCCGTCTCAAACAAGGGAACGGTTTATTCCAAAACACATTTGGAAAAGAGTGAAAACTTCAACCCCCCCCCCCCCCTTTCCTCCTAGCCACCGCCATCCCCAGTATTTGTACAAATCGTGTTGTTACATTGTTATATTTAGTAGCAATTGGTATAAGAAAAGCCGGTCACATTTACAATAAATGTATTTGAATATGTTTCTTTTAACATTTGGTCATGACGGGCCAAAAATGAATAGCATGAATAACGATGAGCTAGCTTTTTTCCCATTAGCTCTACTAATCTATTCAAGTTGCACGTTCTCCCTTTTCACAGGTAGTGCACTCTCTTACATTACTTCGAGCACCGTAAAATTGTTTAAACGATAACCCCCCGCCGCCCTTTCATCAGCTTTGGTCTGGAAGCATAACTGTGTCTGCTAACCCTACTTGTACCCCATTTTCAGATTACTTCACACATTCTTTACTTCATGCATGCTTGTCCCTTGTGAAATATTGAATCAGCTTTTTGAGCGATATAGAACTCTCTCGAAGCGTTTTCAAGGTGTGAAATACTCGTAAAACAAGAATAACAACCTTGTCTGAAATATTATGTTTGTTAACATCGTAATAATGGATCTGAACTTACCAACTCTTACAGACTGGTGTTGGATAGATCTTCTTTTCAACTGGATAACATTTGCACCGTCTTGTTGACTAAAAAGTTGTTGTTCTGTATGTTGACCAAGTTTCCCCCTCCCACCCTCTCCCTTAGACACAGTCACAATGATTTCTGTTATGTATTGTCTTCATAGGGCAACCCGGACAGTTAATGTATCCTAACGGAGGAACAATGCTTTACTACGGTTGGTTTTCTCCTATTCTGGTGGGAGTTGTCAGTCGCTGCGAGCAACCTGTCACGACACTAATGTTGTCATAATTTATTGCGAGGACTGTTGTGGTAAAGTCAGGCGCTCGTCTAAATAACTTTCCCTTCCCGTGGGCAATTTTGACCGAGCTGGGGTTTTTTTTTCGCTCAATACCTTTTATGTCCATTTAAGAACATGTTTCTGTGTGGATTTTACTGAAAAATTTAAATCAGAGGCACACAAATATAATTCTGCTGTTTACATGGACACTGAAGCTTTGAAAGTCCCCTTTCTAATTTTACCTCTGACATCACGCAGTTCCCACTTCTTACCATAGAAAATATCTCGAAACTTTTCAAGACAGATGGATATCTC